TTTTTATTCTGTAACAAGCATGTAGACTTTGTAAAATTAAAAACACTTACATGTTTAATATCACATTTTTTAAATAAAAAAGGGACAAGTTTTGAGCCCAGGAGTAATGATCCATCATATAAATGTTTTGTTAGCTGCCGTTGAGTTGGCCTGACTCTTGGTGACCCCTTGTGTTGTCACAGAGTAGGACTTCTCCATGGGGTAATCTTGGCTGTAATCTTTAAGGAAATAGTTCATGTGCCCTTTCTTCTGTGGAGCTGCTGCGTTAAGTTCGAACTGCCAACCTTCAGGTTAGTAGTTGACTGTAAACCACATGTATCACCAACCAAAAAACAAATGCACCCCCATCAAGTCAATTCCAACTCATAGCGACCCTATAGTGTTTTCAAGGCTGTAAATCTGCGGAAGCAGACTGCCTTATCTTTCTCCCAAAGATCAGCCAGTAAGTTTAAACCACCGACCTTTTGAGCTGAATGCTTTAAACCACTGTGCCACCACAGCTCCTTACATGTACCACCAGGCTCCCGTAATCTTGCACAAGATATAAAGCAATTTCTACTTTAAGTATGTGAATTATAACTTTAAAATAAAGACCTACCCTGGAAAAAAACACAGTATTAAAAAACTTTGTGACATACTGGCAGTTTATTATACTTTTCTTTTTTGGCCACAGTGTATTATTCTTAGATAATGCTCCAAGAAACATGTATTTTTCCCAGAGAAATAATATTATCACTGATAGTTAAGGACTTGGCATCAGATACATCAGATACAACTAACAATATCATAACAATGTAAAATCTTTTTAATATTTTGAAATAGGAAAATTATGCTATAGATTTAACAAGAGAGAGATGAGAATGTTGTTAGGTGCCACCAAGTCAGTTCTGACCACAGCAATCCCATACACAACAGAACAAACTGCCCAGTCCTGCATCATCCTCAAAAATCACTGCTATGCTTGAGCTCACTGTTGCAGTCACTGTGTCAATTCATCTCACTGAGAATCCTTTTTCTTTTTTGCTGACCCTCCACTTTACCAAGCGTGCTGTCCTTCTGTAGGGACTGATCCTTTATGATAACATGTTTAAAGTATGTGCAATGAAATCTCATCATCTTTGCTTCTAGGCTTTATTTCTTCCAAGACAGATTTGTTCATTCTTTAGGCAGTCCATTTAGTATTCTTCACCAACACCATAATTCAAAGACATCAATTCTTCTTTGGTCCTCCTTAGTCATGGTCCAGCTTTCATATGCATGTGAGACCACTGAAAACGCCACAGTTTGGGTGAGGCACACCTTAGTCCTCAAGGTGACATCTCTGCTTTTTAACTCTTTAAAGAGCTTTTTTGCAGCAGATTTGCCCAATACATCATTTCATTTCATTTCTTGACTGCTGCTTCCATGGATGTTGACTGTGGATCCAGATAAAATGAAATCCTTGACAATTTTAATATTTTCTCCGTTCATCACTACACGTTGCGTATTGGTCCAGTTGTGAGGATTTTTGTTTTTATCTTTGCCTTTTATCAGTAAGAGGCATAAGCACATTGATTAAACAAGAGATTAAATATTTTAAAATTGTATGAAAAAAAGCATTTGAAAAGTACAACTAGTACTCAATCTATTTAAAACTAGTATACTTGACTGCTAACCAAAAGGCTGGCAGTTCAAACCCACCAGCCACTCCTCAGAAGAAAGATGGGGCAATCTACTTCTGTAGTGATACTGCCTCGCAAACTCAAGGAGGGGTCGCTATGAGTCGGTCTGACTCCATGGCACGCAACAACAACATACTAAGTTTGCTGTGTGCTGTCAAATTGATTTTGACTCACAGCCTCCCTATAGGATAGAGCAGAATTGCCCCACAGTTTCAAGATGATAATCTTTACAAAAAGAGCCCTGATGGCACGGTAGTGCCCATCTGCTAACTGTAAGGTCAGTGTTTCAAACCCACCAGCTGCTTTGTGGAAGAAAGATATGGCAGTCTGCTTCTTTAAAGATTATAGCCTTGTCGATGCTACCTGGCAGTTCTACCTGTCTGACAGGATTGCGAAGAGTAGGATTTGACTGGAGGGCAATCGGTAATCTTCCCGGAAGCAGATTGCCACATCTTTCTCTCGCAGAGTGGCTGATGGGTTTGATCCACTGATTTTTCAGTTAGCATCCTAGCGCTTAACCACTGGGCCACCAGAACACCTTAATACTGAGTTTAATAAACATTAAATACTTAATTAAAAATAGTTTTGCTTGCCCTATTAGAATTTAGTTGAATTCTAGAAGAAATGACTGGAATAGCTCATCTTTGATTTTGAAAAATTAAGTACTGATGTGTGAGTGGTCAAACTGATAAAGTTCTATTCCCAAAAAGCTCCTGTGCCAAGAAGCAGCATTCCAAATCACTGCACTGATCTAAAAACGCTATTACAGCACTATGGTGCCTAAAAAGTCTTCTAAGGGTACCAAGTACACAAGTTTGAAAAAGTCATCTCTTGATTCCAATTATGTTATACACTAATTTTGTAGTATATATATTGACACAACCAATAGATAATACCCAAATAGATTTATTTTTGAGTCTCTGTTTTCACTACCCCACCACTTGTCTGTCAGTTTGTCGTATTGTGGTGGCTTGTGTGTTACTGTGAGGTTGGAGGCTATGCCACTGGTATTTCAAACACCAGCAGGGTCACCCATGGTGGACAGGATTCAGTGGAGCTTCCAGACTAAGACAGACCAGGAAGAAAGAAGGGGCCATCCACTTCTCAAAGAACTGGCCACTGAAAACCTTTTACCACCAATTCTCCTTTGATATCTACTGCTTTTCTGGCTTGTTCTTCAGAGTACTGGGAAAATTAGTAGACAAGATTGTGAAAAAAGAGCAAAGGATGAAGGCAGCAGAGTAAAAGAAAAAAAAATCAAGATTTGAGGATAATCCCAAATATATACCACTTGGAGTAACAGGAGTCTAGAAAAGCACAGGCATTAGGCTTCTAAACTATCAGTAATAAAAATCTTTTCGACTGTTCTAGTTAACAGCCTTCAGAAGAATAACCACCACCATTTTCCCCCTAGAATAATATACTGATCTATAAAATTGATTTCTAAAAGTGATAAAACCCACTGTCACTGAGTCTATTCTGACTCGCAGTGATGCTATAGGGCAGAGTAGAACTGCCCCATAGGGTTTCCAAGACTGCAAATCTATATAGACATAGAAGACTGCCTCATCCTTCTCCCATGGAGCAGCTGGTGGGTTTGAAGCACCGACCTTTTCGGTTAGCAGCCGAATGATTTAATGCTACCAGAACTCCTAAACAGATAAATTACTCACTGCCATTGAGTCAATTACTACTCATCGTGACCCCCATTGGGTTTCCAAGGCTGTAAATCTTTACGGAAGCAGACTGCCTTATCTTTCTTCCATAGAGTGGCTCATGGGTCTGAACCACTGACATTTTGGTTAGCAGCCAAATGCCTTAACCTCTATACCACCAGAGCTCCTGAACAGATAAATTAGGAAGTAATAATTTGCTTTGAAAAAAATGTCATATAAGCTAGTATTAAATGTTCATTTAAAATGTAATTCTAGTTACCAAGGGAGCGCTGATGGCATAGTGCCTAAGGCACCTGACTGCTAACCAGAAGGCTGGCAATTCAAACCCACCAGCCACTCCTCAGAAGGAAGACTGGGCAATCTACTTCCATAGCGGTACTGCCTTGGAAACCCAAGGAGGGGTCGCTGTGAGGTGGATCTGACTCGATGGCAGTGAGTTTGGTTTTGGTTTAGTTACCAAAGTTGTCTTGTCAAATTCACTCAATGCAGGGACTGATTTTTTTCTAGTAATATTCTTTACAAGCAGTCAATACAAACACTCACAGTGAAGGAAAGCACAGTGCCTCAGAAGTGAAGCTACCCAAAAGCAGAAGTGTCTAATTGTGGATCAGATCCTCCTCACACAGAACTGAAATCTAGTTCCCTGTAACTGATATCCTCCTGTTTCTATTTCTGTTCCATCCAGCCATCCAGAATAAAGTCTAACCCCCACCCATATCAGACTCTGAAACATCTGAGGACAGATATCACATTCCTCCCATGTCCTCTTTTTACTGGTAAACATCTCCAGGGCAGCTGTGTCTAATTCAGAGGAAAGTACATGGCCCCTGGACTCAGAGTTGAATAGATTCCTATCTGTATATTCTTGGAAAACCTCTCTAAGCCTCATCTAAGTCTCCTCATCCGTGAGACAGCACAGTGATGCCCTGTGCTTGACCCAATGCACAATACTCAAGAAATGCTAAAGACTCTCTCCCTTGGCTCATTCCTGTCTGTCCTTAAAATGTGGAGTTTGTAAGTGAATGAGGCACCCCAGATACAGTGTGATTGGTTCAGAGTTCTGGAGACCGTACTCCTAAAAATGTACCCACAATGCATTAGTTAATCTGTTTTAGTGATGGACTATTAATAAATACTTCTTTAATGAACTTTCTCTGTATGTTATTAAGTCTCTGCGAATCACGCTTCCTACAGTGATGTGTACGCACTTCTTGCGGGGAGCTGAACTCTGGAGGCATTAAAACCCAAAGCTCCATAGCTGGTGCCATAAACCTTGCCTCGTGAGTCTTCTGCCTTTAGTCTGGTTCCTACAGCGCCGGCTCCAGGCTGTGTCTGGTTCCCCTCTGGGCTCTAGGGTTGGCCTGGCCTCACTCCCCCATTTCCACCCTCATCCCATGCTGTCTGTCTTAAGTTACCTTAACACATATGTCATAGAAATATGTGGAGAGCAGATGAAAAAAAGTGTAAATAAAGAGCTGGGGTGGGAGTAAACTTGTAAGTTTTTATTACTCTGTTTCCCTGTTACAAACAAACAGCCCTGGGAAGTTGTCAATGTTAATAAAAGAGACATGCATTTCTAGATATGTATATTTAAGAATATGTATATGTATGTACATATACAATAATACTTATTGCTAAAAATGGATGAATACTTCATACTGACCTTAGGGGGTTTAAACGGATAGTCTGGTGAAAAGGTAATGTCAAGAAAGAACACCCCTCCTTCATAGACAGATCCTGGGGGTCCCAATATAGTTGACCTCCATTCATAAATGTTGTCTCCTTTGGGTCCAGCACTAAAATAAGACATACAAATGAAATGTGCTTAGAAATTACATAGAGCCTGGAATTTTAAAAATCTACTTAATGGTAACGATAAATAGAGCAATTACATAAGAACACAACAAAGTTAATAAATTAATTCTATGTAACAATTCAAATGTCAGTATTACCAGTATTGTAGAAATTAACTATGTTGGCACTACTTAATAAAATAAAACTAAGAAAAGTTTCCTTATGTCATTGACATCTCTAAGCCTATGGAACAAAAGATCCAAGGACCATAGCCAGCCCAGAGGTAGGAACACAAATGTTTAATGAAGCATAAAATTATTTATAAAGTCTTGAAAGGGTTACACAATCACAGTCAAGGAGACAAAATTTCAAAGCCACTGGAAAACAACTAGTCTAATCTGGTGCTAACAAACAGGAACACAAATGAAGTCCATGGAGATCAGTTAATATTTATCATCCCTACCACTCGGTTCCAGTATCATATCCCATCTGATCTTCCTTCCTCTTTCCTCATTCCAAGGGCACCCAGCCAACCCTCATACATTATGATCATTGTGATTCGTGGATAAAATGTGTCACTTTGCTTTATAACTCTGTTTCATAACTATTTCTTTCTTCTGTCCCTCATTAGAAGTTCCCTGAGGAATAGATTTTACCCTGTTCTTAGTGTCTAGTAAAGGTGCTCTGGTGGCACAGTGGTCAAAGCATTCACCTGCCAAAAGGTCAGAGGTTTGAACCTACCAGCCATTCAGTGGGAGGAAGATAAAGCAGAATGCTTCTATAAAGATTTATAGCCTTGGAAACCCTATAAGGCAGTTCTACTCTGTCCTATAGGGTAACTGTGAGTTGGAATTGACTCAGTGCAGTGGGTTTTAGTATCTAGTAAGTAAATGTTTGTCGAATGATGATGGATTAAGAGCAAAGCAAGTGAAGCTTTGGCAACTAAATCTCAGAGATACTCACCGAGGAAAATAATGTACACGCAAACCAACTGAACTGTAAACTAAAGGGCAAAACAAGAGTACAATTTAGCCCTCTAGTGTACGTTTTACTACACTAAGATGTTACCTGTATCTAATGACGAGAAATTCTCCTCACACCAATAAAAGGTGTTTGTGAAAGATTTTGTCAACAATGATTTTACTTCTTCCTCCTCTTATTCTGAAATCAATTTATATCTACTAACAAATCATTGTTGAATAGATGTGAAAAAGCATGCATCATGAAAAGCTGGAATTATTACAGTAGTGAAAAGATAGTTTAAATAGAAAACTTATTAATATAATTCACTTCACTAACAAATTAAAGGAGAAAAAATTATAACCTCAATAGATGCCCAAAATAAAAACATCCAATAGGCATCATTAGCCACTCATGATAAAAACTCTTAATAAAAGAGGGATGGAAGGAAATTTCTTTAACCTGATTTACAGTGTCTACCAAAAATCTCACAGCAATTATTATATAAAATGGTAAATACTGAAAACACTCCCGTTAAACGGAGGAACAAGAAAAGGATGCTTGCTCTCTCCACTTCTAATTACTATTATACTATAGATCATATTCATCAAAGTATGCGTAACACAAGGCAAACAGAAATAAATGTATATGGATTGAAATGGAAGACATAAAACTGCTAGCATTTGCAGAATTTATGTATATAGAACCTACCACCCAAATATATATAGAATTCATTCAACTAATAAAAGAGTTTAGGCAAAGTGATTATAAATAAGATGAATATAAAAAAAAAAAATCAATTGCATTTCAATATCCCGAGAAAATGTATTTTAAAACACTAGTTATAATTAAAAATATAAGGAAACTATGAATAAATAACACATCAGATACGTAAGATCTTTGTGGAGAAAATTATAAAACTTTTTTGAAATACACACAAGAGAGTTAAATAAATGGAAAGAGATTCTTATGGACAACCAAACCAAACCAAATTCACTGCCATCGAGTCTATTCTGATAGTAACCCCAATTGGGTTTCCAAAGCTGTAAATCTTTATAGAAGCAGATTGCCCAATCTTTTCCATGGATCAGCTGGTGGATTAGCACTGCCAACCTTCTGGTAAGCAGCCAAATGCCTTAACCACTACCACCACCAGAACTCCTACTTATGGAAAAGTAGAGCCAACATCCTGCAGATGTCAATTTCCTTCAAATTAACCCAATGCAATTCCAATCAAAATTCCAAGTTTTTGTTTTTAACTGAAATTTGACAAACTGAGTCTAAAATTTATATGGAAGATCAAAGAAACTCCTCCAACTTTCCCACACACATATGGAAATCTAATATATGTCAGAACTGATGGGGCTGAGGAAACTTGTTTTTGTATTTGGAAAACAGATAGTGGATTTCTATCTCAATAAATATACAAATCTTAGCTGAAGATAGCTTAAAAGCAAAAGCAAAAAATTTCAGAGTTGTCTAAAGAATGTTAAGGCAAGCCACAAACTGAGAGAAGGTATTTGCATCATGAATGTAACTGACAAAGGATTAGTATCCAGAACATAGAAATTCCTATGAATCAAAAAAAGACTAGCACCCAGGTGTATAGTAGAGCTGACAAGGGGCAAGGTTGTGGTCACTGCTTGGTCACAGCCAGCTAGCTACTCAGAGGGACTGAGTAGTTGAACCAGCGGGCTTGGGACCATAGACGCAGGAGACATCAAGCTCAA